ACTGTTACGTACTGTGAAGAGGAAGTAATAAAAATGATGAGTAGGAAGTTCTTCCCTCTCTCAAAGCCCCAGGTTCTCCCCCTCACAGTTACCACCTCTAAGCTTTACAGGATGACACAGAACGTTCAGCAGCACTGTGACCAACGCCTGACCCCAAGGAATGCTCAGATATTTGTCCCAGGCATGAATGACACAGCCTGCAGAGAGAGAGAAGCCAGGACGGCACTTCCCTGCCCGGAGCACTTCTTCCCAGCATCCTTCTCTGGTTTCATTACAGCTCTGACGTTGAAAACATAGAATAGCAGGTGCTGTGCATGACGCAGAAGGAGGAGGAAACCACGACAGACCTGATCCCAAACCCAGTCCTGTTCCCCTGAATTAACCTTAGCGGGAGACACGAAGCAGACCTGCCGGAGCAGACAGAGAGCTGAGTCCCTTTCCCCCTGCCGCCCCTCTTAGCATCCGGAGAAACTTAAAGCTAATTCATCCTTTGATATTTCTACCCTTTTCTGTATTTCTTCAAGTAATACATATCACCCTGTCAGAATCTTAACTGAAGACTTGTTAAAAATAAATCCCCCCAAAATCCTGCTGGTAGGCTGCAATGTTCAGACTCTTCGTAAGACAGAAAAATATAAATATCTACATATGTTAAAAAAAATTTTTTTCCAGATTTTCCCAATGATTCAAAACAACATGCAACCCAGAACTTAAAAGTTACCAGAGTCCAGACCCAGTTACTGTGTTAACCAGTCTACATGTTATGCCCTCAGAATCATAATTATGTTTATGCCTTTTGAACAAGCTGATGAAAAGAAGCATTTGTTTAAGGTTCCCATCAATGAATACAGAGCTTAGACTGGTCTTTAGCATATACAAACGTTATGCTTATTAATTCTGAATATTCATTCAGTTATTGAAACAGGATGACAAAACGATCCAGTGAAAGACTCTCTATTATACATATTAGCTTTGCATTAAAAAAAAAAAAAACCTTTGGCTTGGGAATAACTATCCAAGTCCTTAGGTTCATATACCTCTTTGAATTTTTAAAATGGGTGTTAGGTACCAGAACTATAACATCAGTGCTCTGAATACACAGATAGATTATAAATTATCAACATAAGTCCATCTGATTAAGGACTTTCCAGCTGGATTTCAGCTTAACAAATTTTACAACTGCCTATGTGCGGCCCGGTCCACGCCAAGAGCCACCGCATCCTGTTTAATTAAAAGCCAGTGATATGACTCAAGCCACCTGTTTCATTGATGCTGGAAGAGCCTTATTTTGGTCAGAGTTCTATTTGGGGGATTAAAACTTTTATAAAAACAAATATCAAATATTTATTCAAATTGATCACTATTGTTTCACATCCTGAAAACTACCTTTCCTAGTATAAAATGACATTTTATCTATGTTCATTTTCACAGTGATTCAAAGTGATAAATAGTGCTAACTGTAGCTGGTAAGAGGGCTGGTAGCTAAAGTAACTACGACACAAGTTGCATGCTCTGTATGCTTTCGTATACATGTAATAATGTCCTTACTAAAATTTGTTGTAGACTGATAAAAGCAGATTTCTAAAAATCTGCTATATAGAAGCATTTCAGTAATTCAGCAGAATACAATGTAACAAATACAGAAAAAAGGGTTGGTGAGGAGTAAGGGGAGAGGAGGAGAGGAAATAGCCATCCGTTTACCAAAGGATGCAGGTCACCTGGCCTTAACCGCTACAGCTCTATAGATTCTGAGTGTCACAAGGAGACGTCCATAGAAGTTCTATACTTAGGAGAGTAATCTGCTCTCATTGAAGAGTTCTACTAGTGAGGTTTGCAGGATATATATCTATTATTGCTTTATGTGACTATTCAATGAGCTATAAAGACAATCAAAGTAAAGCAAAAAAAAAAAAATCAAAAAAGAAAATGAAATTCAAACTGTGCTGGCTGCCTCAATCAGGCAAAGATTTTTGTTTTAAACAAAACACAAAACGTAATCAATGCCAAAAAGGAGCACTTCTCACATTCCACACAATCAGAGGTCCGGATTTCTCCCTGTGTGCTTTAGCCACTACTGAGGTGATTACATAACTTTCCTCTAAGAGCAATGGAGCAGGATTCCACTCCCGGCTTCACCATGGCTTCTGCGGGAAACGAGACCTAAGACAGCGGTGCACAAAGGTCCGCGTGTGTGGGCAATATCTGGGTCCTCACAGAAGGAGAGAACGCTCTGGCCTTTGAAGGCAGATGTAACCTGATCTGTACCTAAGGAGCTCTTGGGGTGACTTGGGGCAAAAGTTAGAGGCTCTACTCTCAAACACCAGTCTAGAAGGCAGGAGGAACAGCGAGTCCAATGCAGAACACACGTTCAGGCTGTAGCGTCCTTCCTCACCCGCTTCCAAAGGCAGCTCAACAGAGGCGGCAGCCCGCCGCAGACCCCACACCCCAGCGCACACTGTGAAATCCACCCTCCTCTCCATCGAGCCTTCGTGTCAGCCTGGTACGTGAAGGCTTTGGTGCGCTTCCCTTCGCTCTACACAGCCCACCACACGGGGAAGGGAAGCGAGCTGAGAGTTCAAGGGCACTTTGGACTGGAATCAGATGAATGGCTGCAGTTGCCTGGGAAACCCTCAAAGACAAAAATGCTTGATATGTCAAATATCTAAAGTCAGCGTGAGCCACAGTCCTTTAGGAGGTAAATCCAAGAAAGCTAACGGCAGGAGAGGGACACTTGGCTTATAAACGTAGTTCCAATTTGATATGTGCTCGTGAACTTTTGAAAAGAGGATTTTGTGATCCTAATTAGCCTATAAAAATAATCTCAAGAGCTAGCTTTTAGGATATAAGATAAAATTCAATATTAAGACACTTAAGTATACCAAACATTATCCATAGACTAATAGAGTTTTATAATAATACTAGAACAAAATATAAGATTTTTTGCAAAACTGTCCTCCTAAGTTCTCTGAGATTCTACTCCAATCTAGTGTGTTTTTTTTCCCAATCTCTAGTGTAAAATGTGTACCTGATGTTGACTATTACCTGTGTCTTATGATAGAAAAATATTACTGCAGTGATTCCAAAGAGAAAAGAATTTAACAAGCAAAACAATGTGCTTTTGTTTTGATTCAAGAAAATATGGACTGAATGACAAACCTGCTAAACTACATTTTCCTTCAAATCTATTTGATGGATTCTTGCCTAAACCTGAATTTGTGATTTGTCACAGGTAAACTCATTCTGAAGATCTGTACAATGGGAAGGAATCTGTGCACCTTCCTGGAGCTGGAATCTTTATAGTGTTTTGTGATCAAACAAATGGAAAGGAAAATCAAAGCACAAGCACCTCGGGGAGCCCACAGAATGATACTTTTGCCGGTTGCACCTCAATTTTCCGGTTATTTGATGAGAGACGCGCCCGGGGATATTGTAGAGATCTTTGACTTTGCTGAAGGATGCTGTCCTAAACGTACTGCTTTGAAGCAGGTACTTCCGGGTTTTCAGACAACTGCGGTGTTTGCAAACTTCTCCGCGTTCTTTGCTCTCTGCTGCCCTCTCCTGGGCAGCATCTATAAGTGGCTTCTGGACAACAACTTACCCCCTCACACAGCTACCCAAGTATCAATACTGCTCAAAGGGCTGTAATTCTTTATTTCTTAGGCGGTGACACGCACAGCTGCATTTTAAGTCAAATCTTTAAAAACATAAAGTTAAGCTTTTTTAGCTTGGGATCTTTGATGTCTTTATTTCACATAGGAAAGATCACTCTTCTCAGATAACTTGCACCATTGCAAGTTAAAGCTATTTTGTCACTTAAAAAGTTTAGTGGTAAAGTCAGTAAGGAACACAATATGTTCATCTGAATGTACTTAAGGTAAGACTAATTTTCTAGAAATGTCATCATTTGTATCTGAGCTGCATGAACATGACTTACATAGTATCACTTCCTTTGCATTATTTATTCTAAATTGATCTGAAGGGACCATTCCAGTTAACCTGACAGCAATTTATCTAAATTAGTTAGAAAAATCAAGGCACCAGGTTGCATGCAATAAATATGCCCACAAATAGCTCAGAAATCAAGATCTCTTTTCCACTGGAAAAACTGCTGTGCACCTCGCTGTTGGTTCTACTCTACTTATTCCTGCTTTATTTCTCCCACAGTCATGAGGCATAAAAGTGACACGGCCTTGAGAATCAGCAGCTTGATTTCCATGCATCCTGGGGAAACAATCTTATTACAATGCTAATGTTATGTGTATACACCGTGCCAACAAATGGAAGTGTTTACTAAGCTTTGCTTTAAGAAAGTCACCCAGAATCCCAAGCACCGCAGTGATCAATGCAATCTTTGTCCCTCTGAACTTCATTCAAAACACTTATTCGAGAGATCTAAATGATATTCACTTTTGCTGGCCTAAATTAGCTTTAGATTAAAAGACACATCTTACTGCTCAAGGAAAAAAGTCATAAAATTTGATTTGCTACTGCCTGTGTTCCAGGAAAGAGACATACAGCATGCATATGTTGTAGGTCTCCTATAGCGACAAACAAACGGCTCAAGTACGCAACAGATCTTCCTGTTTGATGCTTATGCTATGTAAGCAACAGATGTACTTCTCATCTGAGCACCGTAAAAAGTGATTTTTTAAAAATAATGCTAAATACAAAATGAGTCAGCCCCAGTGCAAAGATAAACCTGAAAGAAATTCCATTTTGTACAAGTAACATTTGCAGTATTAAACATGTTGACATTTCAGAAGAAGCGCTGTTGAATATTAGAATCTGTCAGGCCCCCTCCACCCCATTAATATGTCCTCAGTGCCTCTGAAGAAAGCATTAGGAACAATTCCAGGTGAGCGCAATTGTCACAGTTGGTACAGGGCTACCAGGACCGTGCCTGCAGAACCACTGAGGTGTCTTTTCCTCTCAAAGTTCAAATCAGTGTGAGATGTAACAAAACAACCTGAACCTACTTTTGACAAAATGTTCTTCCTTACCTTTACCTGGTGATGTCTACAGGTATGCCGAAAGTTATCTCTTCCTGGATATGTTCCAAAATGATCTTATGCTATTTCTCCTGGGATTTCTCCACGCTGCCCCATTCAGATATTTTATTATTTTCTGAAGAAGAAAAAAATGCACGCATGAAAATTATCAGAAGAAAACCATTGATTTTTAATCAAATCGAAACAAGTGCTGCACCAGCAGGAATGGCACCTTGCAAAATGCTACCAGACATTGGTTTCTGGGTAGTAGGATGCCAGAAATCTTCGCTCCTTTTGTAGCTTTATTAAAAGCCATGTCTTCTAAGATGGAAAATACACAGTTATCTCAATCAGCGTTCGCGCCTTACCTCTAGCACTCCTGTGGGGTCACATTCTGTTACAAACATCCTGCCCTTCTCCCTACAAAGAGGTTCCATAGAATCAGAGCGCAGAAGCGCTACAACTTGCTAACTTTGCTCTGTGTTATTTACGAACCGCACAAAGAAAATGCTGTCTATTCAGAACTCATTTCAAAACTCTTTTCACTGGGAGTGAGCGAACAAGCGGGCTCATGTCCCGAGGCCCAGTCACATCCCCAGTAGTCCGGTGATGGCCACGGTACCAGCACCAAGTGGCACAGCCTCAGGACGTCCCACAAGGGTCTGTTGTAAACAGAGGGAGACGCACCGCCCAGGAAGTCAAGAAAGAGGCGGGCGGGGCAAGCGCGCTTTTACTCTGCACCTCAAGTCTCTTCGCTTATCTCCCCCGAATTTCTGCCAAGAGTGACCCTCTCACTGCCCGCCCTTTCATCCTGGCCACGCACAGTGTCATGGAGGTGACAGGTACGGAATCTAGTCAGCTGGCCTGGATTTCCTTAATGAACTGCTACCTTTGGGAAAGTTATTTACACCGTTTGAAATTCGGTGTCCTCTGGCTTTACGGTGACACTGACCGCAGTACCGCACTAGGCATGAGGTGTGCTTGAAATAACACTGAGAGTGCTGCGCTGTTACAGCCCGCACGTCACAGTACAACCAGCGTCCAGCACAGATGGACCCTCCCTCTCCCCTCCCGCCCTCCTTGCTCCCCTCACCCCTCGCTGAAGCTCCCAACCAAATCACAGCACCAAGCTTAGCACACTTCTCCACCACACAGAGGAAAACACCCCAAGAACCTGTTCAGCAACCCAAGACTCCTCCGCCAGCACAAAGATCTCAGAAAGAGAGAAATGAGAGGCCATGGAGGGACTATCTAGGCATCATGCCCCAAGGTCCTGCAAGGAACTGGGGTGTTCAGGGTATAGCAGTGTGCTTCAACACACGTTCTTGCAGTTAGGAGAAGGAGCCAGCCCCCCATGGCCCAAATCAGCTTTATTTTTCGTTTGTTTGTTTGTTCATTCGTTGTCTTTTTGAGACAGGGTCTCGCTATGCAGTTCAGGCTGGATTTGAGCTCGCTTTGTAGCCCAGGCTGGCCTCAAACTCGCAACAATCCTCCTGCCTCAGCCTCCTGAGTGCTGAGATTACAGGCATGCGCCACCACGCCCGGCTCCAAGTCAGCTTTGGATAGGGTTCTATCCCAGCATCTGCCTCTGACTTCAGCCAAAGAGCCAGCTCATGCAGGTGGCAGGGGGAGTGGGGTGTCCAGAAGCATGTGTGTCTGTGGGACACACAAGAGGAATCCTATCTGACGTGTCCGACTGTCAGAGGAGGACACTCAGCAGAGTGAGGCTAGCCATGTACCGCCAGGGCTAAGGCAGGCACAGCCAGCCACAAGGGGAAGGAAGGAAAGACATCCAGCTGGGAGCAAGGGAACTCAGAGATGGATGAAGCTTGTTTCTGAGAAGGCCTCAAAGCCCAGGCCCTAGAGAATCCATCACAGAGCATGAGCTTAAAGGCCCTGCCAGGACAGAAAACAGGACGCCAGCCAGCCAGGGGGGCAAGGCTCACACTATCGTGTCTCCTGCAGGACGCAACTCACAGCTTACAGCCCTGGCAGGGCGGTGACATGGGTAGGGACTAGGGAATCAGAGCTCAGAAGGACTCCTCAGCCTCCCCTCAGGCTACAGGCAGCCAGGCCTCGGACAAAATAGGGAGAAGCGGTAGGTAAGCTAAGGGCAATGTTTTACTATTGCTTAAAACAAAACAGATTAAGTGCAGAAGTGAAACCGAGTGACTCAAGTTGACCAGAGACGTTTTGTATTTATTACCTGAAAATGATCAGAATGGCTGTGGGACCTACAGGTCAGAGATATTATCCAGGGCTTGGGGATAACGGTCTCACCAAATAAAAGTTACAGGAACAATGGCGGCAAAATTAAATTGTTTTGGTTCTATCAAGAGCTATGCTTTTTCGGTGTATCAGTCACTTCAGCTACACATGATAGACACTTCTGCTAGACTAGAAGCTCCAGGAAGACGGGGTATTCCACATTCCTTGAGGTTTCCTTCAGAGTCTAACACAGCACCTGGCCAGGAAGGTCAGTTTGTTTTCCTGTCTGTCCTTATTGGGTTTACGTTAGCCATTCCTACTCAGCACTCCCATTCTAGAGAAATCTAGATGAACATACTTTTTCAAGCTTTCTAGTCACCTCTAAGACATTCTCACTGCTAAATTATTCTTCCCTTTTTGCACCTTCTCCGAAAGCTATCTTTCCCTGCCTCTGTCTCCTTCAGAGACCCTTATATAGCTATACCACATGCAGCAGGCACAAGCTGAGATGTATGCAAATTTACGGCCAGTAATTAAAGATTAATCAAAGCACACCTTGACAAGCTTATCAGAGGAGCTCCAGGTGCATCACAAAATCCACCAGCACGTTCTCTTGGGAGCTTCTCTTTGTGCTCAAAAATCAATCTTTTTTTCCAGGAAAAAGAAAAAGGACACAAGAGCTCTTATGGCCTTTCTCTCTCCTGTTCCCGCTACCCCATGTTAGTGAATTTCTGAGAAGGGTCTCACCAGCTACTTCTCTACTCTGGGGTGCGGATGAGTTCAAGTATTTTGAGTGGCATAGAAGCAATTTCTCTTTTGGCCAAAAGAGAAACTCAGGGGAATTTTTTTTAAGAAATCCAAGGCAAGCCTCCTCGTGAGCTTCCCAAATTGAGCAAGTTTGGGTGTAGCATATGCAGTCTCAGTTTTGGAAACCACAATATGCCATTCATCCCTAACTAGATGATGGGACAGAAATGTTGTTGCTGAACCAACCAAGGGAAATATGCTTGCTGCTTACCCAAAACAAACTTGCAAAATCCAACTTCTACTGCTTCAGATTTTCAGATGGGAAAATTTCCTCCTACGTGGCATTTTCAACTATGTTTATTTCCCTGGCTAAGTGAACACTGGTAATGCGGGTACATCTGAAAGGACGGTGCTCTTACCTGATGAAATATAGCTCCGGAACAAAGTCGGGAGTTGCACAAGAAAATTCAGGACTAGACCGAGACCCTTCCTCAGGTTGAGACGGGTATGAATGACTGTGTGGGGACGCGGAATGAGAGGTACAAAGACCGTGGCATAAAAACCCAGCCCTCTGGGGCCTGTGACTTGATGTGGTCAACGAAACCCAACTCATTAATTCTCCCCGTCCCTGAAAACCTTCTGTCCATTCGTTAAGGAGCACCTTCAGACCATCAACCTTGGTGATCTTTCACGGAGACTGCCTGTGCAAGCTCTTTGACAGCTAGCACCAGGTAAAGCTGATAAAGCAAACTAAAATTCCCACTGGCCATGCCCAAGGACAGGGCCTTTGAAGGACACATCGCCACAGGGTTTCCTCCTGAGCACGACCTGGTGTGTTCTTACCACTTCCTCCTCTCTGTCCCCGCTGAGGAAAAGGCCAAATCTACAGCGATCCTGTGGTCCTCCCGACTGCATATCCCACCCCCGCGCATCGGCATTCCGTCACTTCCGGAGCACTGCGACACAGCGGGATGCACACAAGCACCTGTGGTTTTGCGCTACTCCCTTTGGGGAAGCTGAGCCTGAAGAGATCCCGCAAACCCAGATAAAGTCCCATTCCCCAGCCGGCCAGGAGCGGCTGCGGGGAGCCGTGGGAGCGTTCCAGCAACTCGGCAGAGTCTAGACAGCGTTCCACAAAATGTGCTGTGAGATTTCGAATTCCTGGCTGCTTCGAAGTGTTTATAACTGAATAAAACAGCCATTTTACCAAGTCTCATTTAAAAAAAAAAAAAAAAACCGGGGCTGGGGATTTAGCTCAGCGGCAAAAGCGCCTGCCTGGCAAGCGCAAGGTCGTGAGTTCGGTTCCCGGTACCGGAGAAAAACCCAAAAAAATAAATTAATTAATTAAAAATTAAAAAAAAAAAAACTTAAAACAGTCCTATAGTTGTGTTGCATTAAGAAATAACTGTCGCTGAGAATTTGGGGGTTGCTGTGAGGTCCCCCCCGTGGAGTACTAGATTTATTTGAACCAGAGAACTGAACAGCCAAGGCTGGCCTAGCCTTTCACACCCCCCGGACACAGGGGCCCGGCGGTGCCCTCCTCCTGGCTGGCGAGGTCGTCCCGCCTCTGCGAGCTGCGCCCGGGCACCAGCAGGGAAGGAGGCCAGGCGCCCAGAGCGCGCCTCCGTAACTGTCGGCTCGGAAGACGCCTTTCGGAGGCTGCGAGGCAGCCCCGGCGAAGACGAACGCGAAAGGGAACGTTCCGCCGGCCACTTGCGAAGCACGGCCGCGCCCGGCCCTCCGCGGCTCCCAGCCCCGCGCCCGCGGGAACGGGGTGCGGCCCCCGCGCGCGC